AATAAACATTAAAAATAAATATTTTTTTTTAAAAAAAAGACCATGTGATGGGACACAAGATCAGAACAGAAGAGTCAACTGTGTTCTTACAGACAAGCAATGAGCAACGCCATCTAAGTTTGAAAAGGGGGAAAAAAAAAGAGCCCGGTGCTGGTGGCACACGCCTTTAATCCCAGCCCTAAGGGAGGCAGAGGCAGGTGGGTCTCTGTGAGTTCGAGACCACCCTGGTCTACAAGAGGGAGTGCCAGGACAATCTCCAAAGCCACAGAGAAACCCTGTCTCGAACCCCCCCCCAAAAAAGAAACCAGGATCAGGACCCCCCAAGGGCCACTGGCTTCTGCTTCAGACCAGGAGGAGTCCATACCTCTGCCCTCCTCCCTCTGACCAGGCTTCTAGACTGCAGACCTCCTTTAGACCCAGTGTTCAAACCCAGACTTCTTTTCCTTAGACCCGGGAATCCAGACCCCAAACCAGATCTAGGGAGACCGCAGTTGTCTTCCATTTCAAAGGTACCCAGGCAGCTGCCCTCCTCTCTAGCAGCCCCCAACCCCCCAACACTAAACCACACATATCCAAACTCCGACCATAAAGTCTGGAACCACTTACCAAGAGAGGATCAGAAGGGGTACAGCAAAAGCCTGCGTCCCCAGAAAGTAGAGAAAGTTCTGGGCGGACTGAGGGAGGGTTTCGATGGACTCCGGGATGTGGACCCAAATGGACATCTTCCCTTGGAATGGACCGCACAGCTTAGAAGGTGGGATCCTGCGGGCAGAGACACACTGGGCTCGATCAGGCAGGGCCAGCCAGCGTGAGGACCCTGTGATGAACGCAACGGGGAACGGGCACCTCTCATACTTACAAGAAGATACTGTAGAGCACCGGGACAGCAGAGATTGCCAGCCCCAAGAGAAGCACCAGGGGGAAAAAGAAATTTGCGGTGGAAGCCCGGAAGGTGCCGGCGGCCGGTGAGTAGATGGAGAAGAGTGTTATCTGGTGGGGAGAGGCCAGGAAATGGAGAGTGGAGACGCAAGAGTCAATCTTTTGTTTTTCCTCTTCTCCCATCTTGGAGTTTTGGCCTCCTTTGAGGCCCAGATTATCTGAGACACCTGTTGCTCAACCCTAGAGGACAGACTATCCCAGATTCCCCCATCTCTGGACCCAGGACTGACTTCTTGCGCCCTCCTCCCTCCGGCGGGGTGTGGTCTTTAGTGGCACTGGCATCCTCCTTTCCCTCGCCCAGGAGTACGGTCCCCAACACCTGTCAGCTCAGACTCCAGGACCGTCCTCAGCCTCACCTTCTTCAGACAGAAGAGTATCAGGAACTTGGCTATGTAGATCAGAGGTAGTAAAGGGCAGAAAAAGCTTCCCACCCAGACCACGGTCTGAGCGTAGATGAGCCCCAAAACCTCATCAGGAACCTGGAACTCCAGAGTCCCGGCCAGACGACCCACTGCCCCAGGACAGAGGCCACAGAGTATCCTGAAGAGCAGGGTGGGACCGTCATAGGCCTGCTTTTTTTTTTGGGGGGGGGAGGTCTTCCCAACCTTACCACCCAGCCCATTATTTTGTAAAGGATTGTGAGGAGCTGGACTTTTAAGATCTGTGATCTAGCTGGGCGTTGGTGGCACATGCCTTTAGTCCCAGCACTCGGGAGGCAGAGGCAGGCGGATCTCTGTGAGTTCGAGGCCAGCCTGGTCTCCAGAGCGAGTGCCAGGATAGGCTTCAAAGCGACACAGAGAAACCGTGTCTCGAACCCCCCCCCCCCCAAAAAAAAGATCTGTGATCTATGTCCTAGAACCTGATTTCACAGTCAAACTGGAAGTCAAGACTGGGTTTAGAAAGTGGGTGGCATGCTGGGTGTGGCGACTTAGATTGTAATCAGAGCCCCAAGGAGGCTGGATCACCACCAATTCCAGGCCAGCCTAAGCTACAGTCAGACAGGGTCTGAGAAGACTAAAAGGGGGATGAAAGAGAAGGTTCAGTGGTTAAGACCTTTGCTGAGCCAGGCATAGTGGCGCACACCTTTATTCCCAGCACTTTAAAAGCCGGGTGGGGTGGTAGTGCACGCCTTTAATCCCAGGGCTCAGTAGGCAGAGACAGGTGGGCCTTTGTCAGTTTGAGGCCGGCCTGGTCTACAGAGTGAGTTCCAGGACAGCCTGCAAAGCTACAGAGAAACCCTGTCTCGAAAAACAAACAAAAAATAGAGTGTATATATATATATGTGTACACACACACACACACACACACACACACACACACACATATATATAAAGAGAGGTGAGAAGAGGTGGCTCAGCACTTAAAAGCATTTGCTGGACAATCATGAGAACCAGAGACCGCAGAACTCACTTAACAAGCCAGGCACCCTGGCATGCCTGTATCCCCAGCACTGAGCGGGCCAGAGATAGGAAAATTTCTGGCGCTTGCGACTTTCTGCCTAGCTAAGAAAACGTTGAGTCCCAGGTTCAGGGAGAGAGACCCTGCCTCAAAGAAATAGGGAGAGAGCAACAGAGGAAGTCATACTAAGCCCTCTTCTGAATACTGCTTCACACGCAAGCACACCGAATATGCTCGCACAGACACACATGCACACCAGCAAATAAATAAGACAAACGAAATAATAAAGAGGGCTAGAATATCTAGGTCGGTGACAAACTTCCTCGTTTGTGTAAAGACCCCAGTTAAAAAGAAAATGGGTAGAACGGAAGGAGACAGCAGTTCCATGGGGGTGGGGCCTGCCCCTGTAGGGCGGGGCTACGAGGAGGGGCAGGGCACTTACTTCCTAGGAAACTGGACCAAGAGCATGACCAACAAGCCCATCAGCAGATCAAAGATCACAAGTTTGTACATCTCCTGGCCCAGACGAGTCTCCCAGCACTGGAGAAGGAAGAAATGGGTAGACCAGACCCTCTGACACGGAGGCTCAAGCGGCTGAGGCCCCAAATTGCCAGCAAGCATCAGAAACGACACTCACGAATGGCGTGGGTGGGGGCTTCGGTGTTTCTATGTTCAGCTTCCTCCCAAGCCAAGGGAGGTCCCCGTCAGGGGAAGTTCTCTGTAATTGTAGCCACAGGCCTTGCATCCCTCTGCCTCCTTGTTTCCCCCACATGTGATCTGATTCCACAGAGACAGCAGGAGGAGCACCAGGGAGGCCAGACGCAAAAACACAGTCCTGCAAGGTGAAGGTGGAGAGAGGGACTCACACTGGGGCACTGCAGACAGGGCTGTTCCCTCCTCCTGGCAGAATTGCTCACCATCTCCCCCCACCACAGCCCCATTCCCACAAAGGAAGGAACTGTGTTCCAGTGTCAGGATTTGAGTCCAGAACTCCCTGGTTCTCACATGCATGGCACTTGTGTGTTGTATACTCTCTCTCTCTCTCTCTCTCTCTCTCTATATATATATATATATATAGACTCCCTGTCCTCTCCAAGAGCAGTTAAGTGTTCTTAACCCCTGAGCCATCTCTCCAGCTCCTCAGTCTTAAGAAAGAAACAAAGCCGGGCGTTGGTGGCATTGCACGCCTTTAATCCCAGCACTCGGGAGCCAGAGGCAGTCGGATCTCTGTGAGTTCGAGGCCAGCCTGGTGTCCAGAGCGAGTGCCAGGACAGACTCCAAAGCTACACAGAGAAACCCTGTCTCGAAAAACCAAAAAAAACAAAAAACAAAAAACAAAACAAAAAAAGCAAAACTCTGTGTGTGTGTGTGTGTGTGTACGCATGCATGCATGCACACACATGTCCATACTGTAGTACTTGTGTGAGATCAGGGGGACAACTTTGAGCATTTGGCTCCCTCCCTCCTTCTGCCGTTACATTCATTCTGGGGATGCACTTGGG